CCGAGATAATGTATGTTTGCGTGGAGCAGCAAAAAAATGTGTAGGGTTTTATTTTCTGAATACTTGTATCAAAAGAATAAAAAACATGCCTTTTGATATTAAGTTTTTTCTCCCATGTTCATCAAAAATCAGATTTTTCTACAAAAGTTAGGTTTGTTTGCGCGGAATATCAAAACAATTTTAAAGGTTTTCATTGCTGAAATTTTGAGTAAAAAGAGTTGAAAAGGATGATGTCCAATTTTTCTTTTCTTGTTTGATTACCAAAAATATTTTTTCGCAGAAGCTATTTTTGTTAGCACGGAGCAACATAATTTTTTTTAGGGTTTTACTAGCTATATTTTTGTTTAAAAAACATTAAAAAAAATTTACTTATTATTTTTCATTTTTTCCCCACATATCAAATCATTTCTTATATGAGACCCCCCTATGTGCCCCCCCAGGTGGGGGGCACCCGAAAAAAAAAGAAAGAAAGAAAGAAAGAATACAGGGCAAAAAAGTTTTATGATAAAAAAGTTACAAATTTTTGTTTTTCAATGATAACTAAAAAACATCAGATTTTGTATACTACTACTACATACCTTTACCCGAAGGCCTTTTGCAGGGGGGCGCGAGACGACCCCCCCCCCCTCCCAGTCTTAGATTATAGATTCGGACTGGGGCCTTTATAGTGTTAAAAAAAAATAACAAAGACGACACTTATCCCACTTTATCCCACTTTATCCCACTGTGCAAACATGTAAAACGACACTTATCCCACTGTGCAAGCATGTAAAAACTATTGTTGTCAGAGCTGAAAACTTTAGAATGGAAGTCATCCACTTAATGGCTTAAACCACTCTTTTTCTTAATATCCAGTTTAAATATTGCTTGTTCTCCACATGAATTTAAACTCCAGAGAAGCTAATCCATCGGATATCTGGATATTTCATTCTAAAGTTTTCAGCTCTGAAGACTGTGTACTTTATGCTGAATTGTGTTGAAAAATCAAACGGGTTTGAAAATTTAAAAAAGAAAGATTCTCAGGACCGGTTTTCTTCAGATATTCTCTTTAAAAAAATGTCTACTCTGCAGATTTATAAATTCTTAGAAATAATTTATTTATCTTTTAGTACGAAAGAGAAATTGTACTGCAGATGGTGATGGCACGACTTTTTTAACTTTCAGAATTTTTTAAAATCTTTTAACAGGTTTCATAAAAATCTGAGAAAGTTTTACAAATAAAAAATTGCTAATTCTGAACATTTCCTAATCGTTAACTGTGCCAAATTCTGCGGAGTATTCGTGAAAAAATTCGCGCATTTCCATCCCAGAAGTCAATAAAGTTGTGGAAACTTTTTCGGAAAATTAAATATTTCACTTAAATACGGGTTCGACCAAAACTCACAAAACATTTCTCGGTAAATTCTGGAAATTGGTCTTAGTTACCTTTGGTAGAGTATAGTTCCTTTCACTTCTCTACGTAACGTATTTGTAAATGATTATTAGCAATATATATTATCAGTTAAAACAATTATAAACTTTTATTGTTCACTGCTGATGCTACTATTCAGAGATTAAAATAATTACAATTCAAATGTCAAAAAACGTTTGTAGGAAACATTCTTCACCTTTTTTGAGTTATAAAAATATCAAAATTGTTTGAGCCAAGGCCAAATACCAGTTTAAAAAACTTCTTTTGCACTTCTCCGAGAAAGACAGGTGTCAGATGTAAGTTTTTACAATTTTTGGGGACCTAATTTAACAATTTTTCGATATTATAAATCGTTCAATTTTGATTGCATACCCAAAATACCCCTTCTATGTCCTTGTTGACATGGTGATGACACTTTTAATACATTTTTGGAAAGCTCTACAGGCTCTACTTAAATAATCTGCAAAATTAAAAATTTATTGCGAAAAACAATTATTTTGGGTTTGGCCTGAAGTGAAAGGCATGTGTGGGTTAAAAAGTAAAAAGCAAAACAAATTTAAACTGCCAGTGCCTGAGACCAATACTTTATGAGCTATGTTAAAACACACAACCTGGGGTTCCAGTAGGAATAGGGTTTATGCACAAACCCCATGCTGGGTGGGCATTGGACAGATTTATAAGCAAAAAAAAGTTTTTTTAATTGACGGTTTTATTAAACACTTTTTACATTGTAACTTTACACCATATATTACATCTTCTCGAGTTTCATGAACATTTTTAAAATAAGAATATCATTAAATTTGCATTTTTTTCATTTTTAGAAAAAATTGACAAAGGTTGCTGAAAAAAATACTATCAAAATGGAAAATACCCGAAATCAAATTTAAAATTTAATTGCTCCGTTTTTAATCGATTGTATTTAAAAACAGTTGACCTCAAAAACTTGTTTTCAATCACTCGTAACAGTTATACAAAAGTACACTGATAGTACGTTTCATAATTCTAAAAAGCTGTGCTCTGGGCCCCCCTTTCAGATTTGGCCCCCCCACACTCGACATAATGGAGTTATAAAAATAAAAATCTCAAATAAAACGTTGTAAAACATTCGTAAAATTTTTTTTTATTTTTTTCTCTAAAATATATAGCCCGGCTCATCGTTGCAGTCATTGTTGTAAGTCAATACAATAAAGACGATTTTCGATTTCAATTTTCATTTCTCACCAAGCTTTGAAACAACATAGATACAGATTAAAAAGAAAATTATAAAGAGCTGTCAATTAACAACTTTTCTTTGATTACTTGTAAACTTGGAATATTTGAAAAAAAGCTTGTTAGAAATCAAAACTTTAATAGAAAAGTTGTCTTCATTGTATTAATATAAACGCCGACCCAAGGGCGTATACAAGAGGGGGGCGAAGGGGACAGTGCCCCCCCTAGACCTGTAAAGGGGTGGGGCGTAGATTGTATACGTGGACCAGAGCCACCATGACAGAAGTCCGAATGAAAAATCTATTTAGATTTCATCCTAATCGTATGGGTGCTATCAGGGATAGCAAACTAAGACAATTGTTTAAAATGCCAAGCCACGAAGGCTGGAGTTTGGAGGTAGTGAAAGACAATTTTTTTAAATTTGGATTTAATTTACTTTATTCATTGCACTGCCGTTTTGTAATCTTTCTTCTTATTACAAACTAATTGAAGTGCCAGGCGTTGCCCGTGGAATTTTAAAAATCGAATTAAAACAAAAACTTATAATTTAGCTTATGTCAACTGGACTGTATGTGTACCTTTAAAGTATCTCATACTTATGCCTGATATCCAAGAAGCCATATGTTTTGCATTTACAGTTCAAATTTCGCCCCCCCCCCCCAGATTTATTTCTGTATATACGCCCTTGCAGTCCATTGATTTCTTAGTCCATGCCTGAACTTCTCCCTGGTAACAAAATTCTCCGGTCTTCAGATGCACATCAGTATATATAGAAACCGGTGCACTCCCAATGTTTTATAATCGTATTGCAAGTACCGGACCGCCTGACACCGGGGCCCCTGTAGTACCAACTCGCCAGCTGCTGGGGACCTTTTGGTACCGGCCCGCCATATACCGTGGCCCCTTGTCGTTTTCTCCCGCATTTTCCCCGGAGACGCCGGGTATAAAAAGGTTGTGGGGTATTGAATGTTCACCCAGTGGTTGAGGAGCTAGTCTGGGACAATATGAAGGGTGCACTAGCTCTTGTTCTTACTCTTGGTACGGATTTAAACTTTTCAAAAACTGCAAAGTTGTTTTTTGACGCGTTTTTTTAATTCTCAACGATTAATTAAACAATTTAGAAAGAGAGATGTTAATAAAATAATGGAAAAACAACTATATTGTTTTTTTTCTATTCAATTTGAAATATTTAAAAAAAAATGTCAATCTTAAATATTATCAATTTAACTAATCTCTAAAATATAAACTCTAAAAGAGCTTTTTAGAGTTTGCATTTCTAAATTTTTCTCTGGCATATCTTCTTTTACTTAAATAATTACTATTCCTCGAATGAATATCAATTTTTACTTAAATATTTGAAATTTTATCTATTTTTTTTTTGAGCTTTTTAATCATATTTTCTGAAGGTTTTTCCATATCTAACATTTATTTTACAAGTACAAACTTTAAGTACAAACTTAATTTTAAATTATTTGTAAAAATTCATTTTTAATTTTAAAACTTTTTTTGTATAAATTCATTCTTAATTTTAATCCTTTTTTGTATAACTTCATTCTTATCCCTAATCCTTTTTTGTTTAAATTCATTCTTAAATTTAATCCTTTTTAGTTTAAATTCATTCTTAAATTTAATACTTTTTTGTATAAATTCATTTTTAAATTAAATTCTTTTTTTGTTTAAATTCAATCATAAATTTAATCCTTTATTGTATAAATTCATTCTTATTTTTATTTTTTTTTTGTAAAAATTCATTCTTAAAATTAATTCCTTTAAGTACAAATTCATTCTTAAATTTAATCCTTTTTTTGTATAAATTTTGTATAAATTCATTCTTAACTTTAATTCTTTTAGAAAAAAATCATTCTTAAATTTAATCCTTTGTATATATCATGCTTAACTTTAATTTTTTGTACAAATTCATTCTTAATTTTACTCCTTTTAATTTTTAAAGAAAATTTTCAAGGATTTTACGCAAAAGTTTATCCTAAAAATTTGTTTATTTCCCCCCCAAAGACAAAATTACAGATTTACAAAACTTTTTAATAATTTCTTGTAAAGAAATATGTAGATACAATTTACGATTTTTTTCCCTTAAAGTTACTATATTTTTGCAGCCTGATGGTGTAAACCTTGATCTTTATGGTCTAGCAGAATTTATAGTTTGAATTATCAATGGTCTACGACATCGAGTTACAAAGATATAGGAATTGAAAAATCAGAGTTATTTTTTAAAGAATTCTGTTCCGTTAAAAAGGTTTCCGAATTAACCTTTTCCAGAATTTAGATAAGTCCAATATTTCCCCATTTGATTTTTTCTTAAAAATAATGTGAAGAAAAACAAGTGCTTTTAGTTAAGATTTAAAGAAAAAGGGATGGTGCACGATAATCATTGATGTACTCTCTTTTTCTTAAATTATTTAATTATTCAATGTTTTTAATTATTAATGATTATGATAAAAAATAACATATTTGTTATTTTTAATTTTCTCTAATTTAGGAGTTACTGTTTCTCATTCCCTGACAGTTTGGGAGGATGGGAAAGAATATGTTTACACACAGGTATAGATAATAATAATAATAATAATAATAATTAATATAATAGGAATCAGCTGTCCATGTTGGATCTAACGACTACACCTCCACTGCCTCCGGATATAGAACTAAGGCTGAAGTCCATATCCAGGTTTCAGGAGGAAAACTCAAGGTAATAATTTGGTTAAATCTTAGAAAATATACCTCGTGGACCCCTCCCCCCATTCCTAATCTATTCATCTTAAAGGGACTGTAAGCGTAATTTCAAGTTGCTGACAATGTCTGATTTACAACGGTACCCCTAAAGAGCTTTGTCTGATGAATTTCATATTTCTGTAAAAACCTTCTATTTTCATTTGTAGTTTCTTTGTAAAAATTACTTGCGCATTTCTTGCTTAACAATCAAAGAAGAGTTTATCATAGTAAACACTTTTCGAGCCAGAAAAACCACGTTATCTTCCACATTTATTTTTATCAGTTTAAGATGTCAAGGGTACCGTTGTAAATCGGGCATTGCCATCTTAGAAGGTCACATGAAATGACGCATGCAGTTCCTTTAACCTTGCCTAATCTGAAATGACGCGCACAGTCCCTTTTACCTTGCCTAATCTGAAATGACGCATACAGTCCCTTTTACCTTGCCTAATCTGAAATGACGCATACAGTCCCTTTTACCTTGCCTAATCTGAAAAAGTTTGTGTTTATCACAAAGCTAACAAATAGTATCGTTTCAAAGAACTAATCACACCTCAATCTCAAAATTATAGAATTCCTTTATCTTTCCAACCTGACGGTGTAAACTTTTGATATTTCAATTTTAGAACTATCTTTCTATAAGAATTCAGAGTTTGAAATCTTAAAGGTCTACAAAATCGGGCTACACAGAAATAAAGGAATTCGAATATATTCGAATATAAGGCTGTTTTTGAAACTGAAAAATATAGATGTCGACTGTACGCACACATTTGTTTACGTTGTACTCAAATTTTAGTTAAAACATGTACATTGTACAATTGACATGAAATCTATGTCAATTTATGTACTGTTGTGTTCAGGTGAAGGTTAGTAATCTAAGAAGAGCCACCTTTAACTTGGCTTATCCAGACAATTCATGGCCTTACAAACAGGTCAACGAGACCAAATCCATTTATTAATATTATTACTATTATGTTTATTTATTTTAAGCATTATTTTTATTCAATTTTAGCTACTTGAACATTGATGGTTTTGTTGATGCTCCATTCTCTTTCACTCTAGAGCATGGACTTGTGAAGGATATTCAGGTAAAAACAAATTGTAACAATTGTTTTTAAAACAAAACTTCTTGAACTATTTGGTAGCATCTAAACATTTTTTCTTGTTAGGTTCCTTCTGATGCTCCTGTCTGGCTTCAGAACATGATGAGGGCTTTCGCCTCCACCATTCAGATGGATCTCACCAAGCTCAAGGACGAGAGACAGTTCACCACAAAGGAGAAGAACCTCCACGGAGACTGCTTTGTCCAGTATACATATGAACACAATGATGCTGTTGATTACCAAGTTGTCACCAAGAATGTTGTTCATCTGAAGGACTGTGTTAACAGGAGGTACAGACAGTTTAACAACCTCATGGGAAGAACTTGCAATGCCGACCCAAACATGGAGAAGAAGTTCATGCAGGTTCTGCAGAATCCTGATCATGCAGAGGATTATGCTTCTGTCATGACCCAGTCATACACTCCCACCGAGCCTCTTTTCTCTGAGGCTACTACTTCTTTCTGGCTTGCACCTGTCAATGGAGATGTTTTCAAGATTCAGAAGATTTTCTCTTTTGGAAACATTATTGTTCAGCCCTTCACCGAGGAGGGAGCTTCCCACGTCACCGTATCTAACAGCACACTTACCCTGAAGGAAGTCAAGGCATCCAGTGATGATATTACTGTCTCTGGAGAGGAAAACTTTGACAATGTCGAATTTGAATTTGAACATGGAGAATGGAAATGGGACCAGGATGTTGATATGAAGAAGAGGGAGCATCTCTTTGCAACTGGATTCTTTGTTGATGAGGAACAGTCTGTCTTTGTTGAGAGGCTCCAGCATGCCATTGATCACTTTGTGTCTGAGATGTACAAGTACAAGATCAACTATCATACCAAGGATGAGGTTGAAGAGATGCACAAGGATGGAATCCAGCGTGTTATCCCCTACATGTACTCTCTGAACTATGATTCTCTGCATCAACTGAAGGAGATATTTTTCTCTGACATTACTGAGGCTGGAGTTTACAAAAGGAATGTTTTCACTGAAATTCTTCCCATGGCTGGAACCAACCCTGCTGCCTACCTCATCAAGGAGATGGTTGAGAATAATGAGTTTGATAGTGATGCTGATGCCGCCAGAGCTGTCACCTCTGTCCCATTCCACATCAGAAGGCCAACAAAGACCCTGGTCAAGCTGTATGAAGAGCTCCTAGCTGTTGCTGAAACATCAACTCAGACCTTCACCAAGATGGCCATCCCTCTTGCCTTTGCTCATATTGTTCGTCGTACCTGTGAATTAACCACCCCTCATCCATACCAACCAGTAGACAATGAAAATAACAGATATGCTCAAGAGAAGAAAGCCTGCTTCCATGAACTCCAAAATCCCTATGTTCAGATGTTCTATGACAAGTTTGATGCCATAAATGAGGATGACTCTGAGCTTTTGGATCACTACCTGATGGTTCTCTACAACTTCAAGTGGGGTAAAACTTATGATCTCCTGAAGCCAATTGTACTGGGAGAGACGAAGCACAAGCACAATTATGCTGTCAGAACCATGGCTATCTTTGCTATTTCTCCCATGGCCCTTGCCAAAGGATTAGAAAAGGAGTTCTTCTTGCCAGTCTTCCTTGATACTCATGAGAACCATGAGGTCAGAATTGCTGCTTTTGATGTTCTTATGAGGGGAGCTGCTGACTCTACTGTTATGAGCAAGATCATGAAAAAGATGGTCATTGAGAAGGATAATGAAGTATTCAACTATGTTTACACAGCTTTTGAAAAGTTTGCTGAGAGCTTTGAATCCACATGCAACCACAACTTGGAGGAATATGCAACCTTCTTTCTGAAATATTGGAAGCAGCACATGTGGATGAGGCCCAGCTATGGATTTGGAATCTCTAAGACCTATGGCAAGATTTTCAAGAAAGAGAAGTATGGATATTCTGGCTCTTTTGAATGGCACACAACTGGATCTCACAAGTCTGCTACCCCCTTGAGCATGATGTTTGATGTTCGTGCCCAGCATTTTGAACACCACACTATGCAAGTATTCGGAGGTTATATAAGAATCCAGGGACTTGCAAAGAAGCTTATGGAGAAGGTCAGACACATGACCACATATAATCCCCAACAATGGAACATTGATGAATTGAAGGATGTTCTCTTCTCCCAAATGAACATTAGAGAGAGAAGTGATGTTCCTGTTGAAGTAGACCTTGTTCTCATGATGAAGGACAATGTTGTTTTCCAGCGCCATTACAATGAGGGATCTGTTGCTCCTGGAGGCAAGCTTTTCAATTTTTTCATGGATATTGTTGCTCTTGGCAAGGAATATAACATCAACCATCAACGTGGTCTTATGTTTGGAAGTGTTCTGTATGAACAGCCCACTGAATATGGTGTTCCAATGGCTTTTATGTCTGCTGGAACCAGCCTTGCAAGCTTCCAGGCCAAGATTACCAGAGGACAAGATAGCGGAGCAATGCTGCGTAAAGTTGATTACAAAATTCAGATCAACACCCAGGCAGAGAACACCATGGCTATTTTCAACCTTGCCACCAACACCATGTTCCAGATCACACAGGATCGTGTCTACAACCACAGATTTGGAAGCCAGATCTCTGGTGTCCTGAATTTACCTAAATCCCAGATTCGAGTCACAATTGAGAGACCAGAGTTTGGAGAGCCCATGTCCATGGTTATGCACAGCCACACCACCCTTTCTGTCAGAGGAAATAAGATGACCCATCATGAAACTGAACTTTCCAGATCATGCCCTACATGCGAACACAACTTTGAGGTCACCAAGGGATCCCAACAGAAGCATGACAGATACTTTTTGAACCATGACAATGAAGAATGGGGATTCCATGTTGAAGGCAAGTACTTTGACTGTGAGGCCCAGCAGGCCAAATCCCATGGAGAAATGTTTAATGTTGTTGCTCAAGCCTTCAACCCTGTGACCAAGCACCCTAAGGACTTGTTCACTGCTGTTACCATGGGATTCAGACAGATGCATTCCTTCCTCCTTTACTACCCCAAGGTTGAGAGCTGTGGAGTTGGATTTTCTTGGAGCCAGTCTAAGTTCAACCCTGTGGAAAAGGTTGAACTGTCTTTCACAGGACAAATGAAGACTCTGACCAGACCTGAATCTGTTTTCAATGGCAAGAAGTTCTATGCCGAAGGAGAGATTATCTTCCATGGAGATGTTGATCGTGTTCATCATCTTAACATGAAATATGAATTTGAGCCCATGTTCTCCAAAAATGAGTTGGCCATCAAACTGACCAGAAACCCCTTCAGACTTAATGCCCGAGACTACCCTCCATTCTCCATATGTTTTGATGCCAACAACAGGTACCCAATTGATACCAAAGAAGAGCTCTCTCTTGATTTCTCAACTGATCAGAAGGTGAAGGCTGATGTTTCCCTATCATGGGGCCAGCATACTTCTTGCAATAACAACCCAGGAAAGGTCCAGATAATTGGAGAGCACCAGACTACCCAGGAAGCCAAGCAGGATCTAAAGAACAAGTGGTATTACCACACTTGCATGCAACAGAAGGAATCTCCAGAATGGAAAGCCTCATCATTCCCTGTCACTGATGCTTGTTTCTACACAGCCATTGATCTTTACACAATCCGTGACTATAAATGGACTGCCACTTTCCAGAGTCTTGAGCCCTGGATGATCACTGGCTACCGTAAGCTTGAGACCCTCGTAAAGACTGGACTCTTCCCCTTTTGGCAGATCAAGCTTGATAACAAGCTTGCTAGACAAACTGACTTCCCTTACAGCACTAACATGATTGATAGCTACAGCCCAGTTGTTGTTATCACTCAGAAGTTCCACTCTGAGCAAAACACCTTTGACATGACTATCCAGACCAACAGAGATCTGAATGAGTTTAAGGGAGTTCACTATGGCTACTGGGACTGGAATGTTGAGCCTTACATGACTTTCCAGGAGTCCACCCCCTCATTTACATCTCTGAGAAACACTCACCTGTCCTCCTTGAGAATGAAGATGGCTGCCAACAACCTCATTGGAATGTGCTCTGCCAACACCAAGAGCATCAGAACCTTTGACAATGTAACCTACTCCTATGACATGCACAACTGCTGGACCATGGTGTCTGCCCACTGTGCCCCTGTCCCCACCTACGCTATATTCATGAAGAAGTCTCCTAAGTTTGTCAATGATGTAGTCCCCAAGATGGAGGTTAAAATGTATGTTGGAGGCCACGAGGTCAATATCAAACCCATCACCCATGCCAAGTTTGAGGTTAACATTGCTGGACAGGAAGTTGTTCTTGGAGAGCATGAAAGCTACTACTGGCCAACCAACCAGAAATTATCAAGGAACCAAGATGCACCTGAAAACTATAAGTTCAAGGTTTACAGGTGGCAGAAGAAGTACTATGTCGAGTCCTACATGAATGTGGCAATCAGCACCGACGGAAACCACGTCTCCGTAAGTATTTATTCTCTAAATCTATTAAAATAAAAATATCTGATGATAAATGTTTTATAGTATTTGTTTCTAGGTTGTTGCTCCTGCCTACAACCAGGGCCAGTCCTGTGGAATGTGCGGAGACTTCAACGGTGATCACGAGCATGAGATGATCCATCCCCAGATGTGCGAGATGAAGTCTGGAACTGAGATGGCCAACGCCTGGGTATGGGAACACAATGACTCTGCCTGCCCTAGCAAGCCCGAATGTACATACACCGAGAAACTCCTCTTCCCAAGACGTAAGTTTTCCAGATTTTCTACAACAAAAATATTATTTTACTCTCCCAAATATTATTGTTGTATTGATTGATTGTTTTTTAATCTTGTTTTTTTTTAGAGAGCCGTTAAATGTACCTGAAGGGATAACTGAAGAATTGAAGATCAAATCTTTGATATGCAAAATGTTTTTGTCTAAAATTTAGACGGTTTCACCAATTTCTTTCATACGCAGTCACAACCAATGTTGTGTATATTTTGTCAGTTTTATAATGCAACAAGACTCAAATAAATACTCTTTTTAACATAAGTTTTTTATTCTATATTTGATGCTATGATATATTGGGTCACTGTAAAAGAGAACATAAATATATAAGGCAAAAAAAGATCAGAATATTGGCAAAATCTCCTTAAAAATTTTAATAGAAAACTTTTTGAAATTTTCATATCTTGGGCTACACAATGTATAAATAGGTTGGGAAGATGAAAGATGGATAATTTAACTTCGGCCTGTTCTCAATAGTTAACGCCTTTTTACTGAATAGAATAGACAGACTTAAATCGCTTTATACTGAATAGAATAGACTTAGATCGATTTATACTGAATAGAATAGACTTAGATCGCTTTTTACTGAATAGAATAGACTTAGATCGCTTTATACTGAATAGAATGACTTAGATCGCTTGCAGAGCTTTAATTTTTTTATCTCAAATAAAATTAAAAACGTTTCTGTTTTTCTGTTGAGAACTTTGAGAATAATCATTTAAAGTTAATAATTTGATGAAGAATAAATAATGCACTTGTCAAACTCTGTTAATTGACTTTCTACTAAAGAAATTACTTATGGCAATCAAAAAAAGATTAAAATGAAGGATTCAAAATTGATTTACTTAAATGGTCTAATTTAATTTGGGGGGGTTGTCGTAAAAGAAAAAAGAAGAAGACGACAAGAGTTCCACTGTTTTCTGGTTCTCCCTGTCTAACTAATTTCTTCTCTATTTCTAGTTTTCCTTCTTCTTCTTCTCCTCCTCCTGGACTCCGAACACCCAGGGGCAGAGGAAGGACTCTGCAGGGGTGAATAGGTCCACTGGGACACCAAATAGGGGACCAACCTTTGTAAATTACAATGAGGAAGATATTGTCGTTTTTCAATCTCAAATGTGTTGAATTCTGTAAATTACATTCTTTGTCTCTGCCGCATAAAATCCGCAAGTCATCTTTACAAAGAAACCACGACAAGAAATAATCAATTTTATAGATGGAAAAAGAGGATGTTTCCAAAAAACGGGGTATCGTTGTAATTTGGCCAAACTCATCTTTTAATGGAATGTCACAGTCCTTTTAGCTTTCAAATTCTCCCCTTCGTTAAAAAGAAAACAAAAAACCAAAATCAGTTTTTTTCAAGAAATTTACCTTCATAGATAGGAAGAGGCCGGATACAATAACATAGGTGAAATCCCCAGGGAACAGTGTTAGAAGTACACAGGCAACAATACAATACTAAACAACGTAGGCACATAGTTTCAGACAACAATACAATACAGAAGACAGTAGTTTGGGTTATCTAGCACATAGTTCCAGACAATACTACAATACAGAATACAGTAGGTTGAGTTATCTAGCACATAGTTCCAGACAATACTACAATACAGAATACAGTAGGTTGAGTTATTCTCCACATAGTTCCAGACAATACTACAATACTAAACAACGTAGGCACATAATTCCAGACAACAATACAATACTAAACAACGTAGGCACATAGTTCCAGACAATACTACAATACTAAACAACGTAGGCACATAGTTCCAGACAATACTACAATACAGAATACAGTAGGCTGGGTTATCTAGCACATAGTTCCAGACAATACTACAATACAGAATACAGTAGGTTGGGTTATCTAGCACATAGTTCCAGACAATACTACAATACAGAATACAGTAGGTTGGGTTATCTAGCACATAGTTCCAGACAATACTACAATACAGAATACAGTAGGTTGGGTTATCTAGCACATAGTTCCNCCCTCAGAAAAAAAAATATTTTTAATGCTTTAAGATATCTTAAAATGGAGTGACCGGCTATGTAAGGTAGTTGAACTGAGTATGCAGTGTTGTGGAAAAATTCTTTCGGATTCATTTGAGACATATTAAACTTTTTAAAGTAGGAGTTTAGAACTTGGAATTTGCGCTCAAACTCAGGATTTACAGATCTTTAAAAAGTTTAATATGTCTAGCTCAAACGAATCCGAAAGAAGTTTTCCACAACACTGCATACTCAGTTCAATTACCTTACATAGCCGGTCACTCCCTTTAAAAGCAACTCTTAAAAATTGTTTTGCTATTGTTCTAAAAGAGATAATGCTAAAAGTATCTAATGCTACATTTGCTGATATGTCTAAAGCTGAAATCTGCAAATGGGCCTAGAATGATATTAATAAAAAATAATAATGATCATAATAGTGATGCAAATAATCATTATAACAATAATGATAATGAAAAAACTAACAATAATAATACTAATAATAGTAAAAATAATAATAATGATAATAATAATAATGATAATAATGGTATATGTTCACCTTGCAGCATGCAATATATTGATATATGTTTACCTTGCAGCATGGAATAAATAAATATGTTTACCTTGCAGCATGCAATATAATGATGTATGTTTACCTTGCAGCATGCAATATAACGATATATGTTTACCTTGCAGCATTCAATAATGATATATGTTTACCTTGCAGCATGCAATAATGATATATGTTTACCTTGCAGCATGCAATAATGATATATGTTTACCTTGCAGCATGCAATAATGACTAAAGCAACCATATTGCCGGGTAGAACATGCTGAGCATGCTTCATTCCTGAAACAAGATCAATTTTTTCTCTTTTTCAGCAAACTTATAAAGTTTTTGTAAATCTCTTCTTATGTGTATGGTGTGTTGAAAGTAATACATAAAGACCACCCTTCACTAAAAATATCTAAAGAAAAAGATAGTATTGTAAAGAAATTAAAAGAAGACAGAAAAAAAATTGACAAACTTGGGTTGTCTGTTCAGAAACGTGAGAATGTACGAGAAAGATCAACTTGCAGATAGGTCAGCAACAGTATATAATAATTATATAAATGTATATAAAGAAATTGAGTCTTTGCCACAAACTGAAATTTTCTAAACCCCATATCTTTGCAACCTGTTGGTTTGAACCTTAGAAATTAAATATATATATATAAATGGTAAATATACCTGCTACGACCTTCTTAGGATAGTAGAGTCCTTTAACCAGGTAGAGGAGAAACCTCACAGGAAACATCTTTGTGACCTAAACATATAGGATAGTACAGTCCTTTAACCAGGTAGAGGAGAAACCTCACAGGAAACATCTTTGTAACCTAAACATATAGGATAGTACAGTCCTTTAACCAGGTAGAGGAGAAACCTCACAGGAAACATCTTTGTAACCTAAACATATAGGATAGTACAGTCCTTTAACCAGGTAGAGGAGAAACCTCACAGGAAACATCTTTGTAACCTAAACATATAGCAATCTATAAAATGACTCAATTGAGACCGGTCAGACATTAAAGTGTTGCCTGGACTCTGCAATTTCCTTGATTATAGTCAAATGTAGTCCTTCAAGGTTGATAAAACCCTGAAAGGAAGTTCATATCCTAAACAAAGAGGTCTTGAGAAGTGAAGTTGATTAAAAACCAAAGAAGTTTCGTTGCTTTAACCTCTCTTGTTTGATTAGTGAAGTCTTGAGAAGCGTAGTTGATCAATAACCAAAGAAGTTTCGTTGATTAAACCTCGTAAAAAGTATTCTTGCCTAATATGTGAGGTCTTGCGGAGTGTAGTTGATTAAAAACAAAGAAGTTTTGTTGATTAAAACTCGAAAAGGCTATTTTTGCCTGATAAGTGAGATCTTGAGAAGTGCAGTTGATTAAAAGCCAAAGCAGTTACGTTGATTTAACCTCGACAAGGACGTCTTATGTCAAATGTCATATGTCAAATGTCATATGTCAAATGTCATATGTCAAATGTCATATGTCAAATGTCATATGTCAAATGTCATATGTCAAATGTCATATGTCAAATGTCATAAGTCAAATGTCATATGTCAAATGTCATATGTCAAATGTCATATGTCAAATGCCTTATATGTGAGGTTTTGTGAAGTGAAGTTGATTAAAAACTCGAGAAGAGTCGTTGATTAAAACTCAAAAAGGGATTTTTAGCCATATATGTGAGGTCTTCGGAAGTGTAGTTGATTAAAAACCCGAGAAGAGTCGTTGATTAAAACTCAAAAAGGGATTTTTAGCCATATATGTGAGGTTTGGGAAGTGTAGTTGATTAAAATCTCGAGAAGAGTCGTTAATTAAAACTCAATGTGAGGTCTTGGGAAGTGTAGTTGATCAAAAACCCGAGAAGAGTCGTTGATTAAACCTCGGAAAGGATATTCTTGCCTGATAAGTAAGATCTTGAGGAGTGTAGTTGATGAAGAACCAGAGCAGAGTAGCGATCAGAACTTTAATCCCGTCATCAAATGCTGACAGTACCGGTTCTCCGCATAAAGGACTGCAACATGCATTTTTCTCATACCTATATCTTTACAACCTGATGGTGTAAACTTATGATATTTGACACCTGGAATTATTCATAACGGAAATCATAGATTGAAATATCTACGAAAGGTCAACAAAATTGGGTTGCAAAGATATTGGGGTTAGAAGATCAAAGTTTGTAGTGAGAACTTCTTTAATATTTCTTTTATTGAACTGACAAAAATGCCGCCAACAAAGCATGCCAACATGCTATATACCTGACAAGAATGTCGCCAGCAAAGCATGCCAACATGCAATATACCTGACAAGAATGCCGCCAGCAAAGCATGCCAAAATGCAATATACCTGACAAGAATGCAGCCAGCAAAGCATGCCAAAATGCAATATACCTGACAAGAATGCAGCCAGCAAAGCATGCCAAAATGCAATATACCTGACAAGAATGCCGCCAGCAAAGAATGCCAACATGCAATATACCTGACAAGAATGCCTCCGGCAAAGCATGCCAACATGCTGGACATCCAGCTCGCCAGGGGATGCTTTCTGGTTGTAGGGATAAAACTATAATATAAAATAAATATTAAATTAAAGTGTGGATAAAAAAATTACTGTAGGTGATCCTATAATATGTTGGCAGCCTTGCGTAACAATCAATCTTAACCTAACCTGAGGCCGAATTTAAAGAATTTGATCCGCTGTTGAAATTTAAGCCGCGGTTCAAATATGGTTGCTTCCACTTAAATTTGTATTAAATTTTTCAAGATTTAAGCCGGCGGATAATTAAAACCGGTTTTTTGGGGGATTTGAGAAGTGGCTTAAATTCATTAAATTCGGACACTGACCTGCATTGAATTGTATAATCACACGGGGTTGCCAAGAAATATGAGGGGTGGGGTTAACACGTCCGAAATATTACGGAACCAAATAATTGACTCTCCATTTAAATACTTATGATTGAAGTAGCATTTCTTTTACTCTAAAAAAGGACGGTTTCTTGATTGATCGGTTTCCTGGCGAGCTGATAATTAAAAAATTGGCAAAAAAGAGAATAAACATATTTTTCAACTTTTTCCCCCCACAAAACTTTTAAAATTTTCCTTTTCTAAAACTTTGGAATACAAAATAAAAGAGCTAAAAAGTTTTAAAACTCACTTCCTCTCAGCTCAGTGTTTTACAGTAAAAAATAAAGTAATAGCTCAGTGTTTTACAGTAAAAAATAACGTAATAGCTCAGTGTTTTACAGTAAAAAATCACGTAATAGCTCAGTGTTTTACAGTGAAAAATAGCGTAATAGCTCAGTGTTTTACAGTAAAAAATAACGTAATAGCTCAGTGTTTTACAATAAATAATAACGTAATAGCTCAGTGTTTTACTATAAAAAATAACGTAATAGCTCACTGTTTTACAATAAAAAATAACGTAATAGCTCAGTGTTTTACTGTGAAAAATAACGTCAAATAAAACCGTCTACGTGGTTTTAAGATTTTCATGTGCACTTCATCTGAGAAACAATGAGAAGGATATCGTTGTTTTTATATCTATATCTCTGCTACATCAATTTGTAAGTCAGTAATTCAGTAAGTCATTTGAAAATAATACATTTACAAAAAAAAAACTCACTTTTTTGTGCTCTGGCAAAGATTTAAAGATCACCATTGCAATTGGTAATTTAAATTTTTTTTCAAATAGAAGTTCTGGGAACAGTCCCTTTAAATTAAGATTTACCTATCTCCCATATCCTCCCTATCTCCTTGTATGCAGATAATGAAATGAACAACGTCAAATACATAATTAAAATCCTGGAAAAAAAGAAAAATATTATTCGAGCAAAAAGTTGGGCTTAATCTTATAACTATTTACGCATACTAAATTCACCTTTAATTTTGAATGCGAGTTTTAGTCTAAACCTACATTGTAAAAACCCGATTCCCAACGGTACCCTATTTACCTTCATGTGAGCAAAATGACAAAAAGAGAAGTAATGAAATTGACATTTTAAAATAGAAAACAGATGATTTGCTCATGGATAACACACACCTCTGCCCCTTTAGTAAAAGTAAATTCAACATATATGAAGCATAAAGTCTGACCGCGTCAACCTTGTTGCACCGACTAGTCCTGTTGATTGTCTGCTTAATTAAGCCAATGTCCGGGCGATACAGTACAAACTGGTACTGGAAAGGTTGACCCGGCTCGGAAATTCAAATGTACTACGGCTGCCCGTGATAAAGGTGTAAAGAGTCAATAGGGCGCGCGACTCTTAAATTATGTGTCACTTGAAATTACGCCGATAGTCCCATTAAGAATAATTTTCGATTATCATCAACGAGGTTATAGTGTATAGAGTGATGATGTACGCTAATCCTTTACTAATTGCATAGGCCGGGAACTATATTGAGATTCTGGCCTAACCTATAGTATATCAATATTAGTAAACAGTTGTAAGTGTACTGTTCATCTAACTGAGTGCACTGCAGGTAGGAAACTATCATCCCCCTGATTATCATAAAATAAGATGAATTTTAGATTTAATTTACACCTTGGGTAAATCCCTGAGCACCTCTGCTGCACTCTCCATTTTTCTAAAAAATATTGTTTAATGCATATGTTTAATGACTTCATTAATTTTAAATTTTGGCATGTTTATCTGTCAACAAACGTCAAAACGGCGGAACCTATTGAGCCCAAAATCTGTGTGACAACTCACATGGCCCCAGGGATGGTTTATGAATGAATGCACAACAGATTTACAAAGAAAATTGCTACTGAAAGTGACGCGAAGCGCCCTGATATCACAGTAATTCAATATTTGATGGTCAGTAGGAATTTCCTCAGTGAACACTTTTTTGTGATGAAAAATGTATCTTTATCTAATATTTTCTTTATTTTCATTATTGTTTATATTGTTTAACGAAAGTTACAGTTCTGAGTGCTCCACCATGGGGGTCATATTTTGTGTCACTCTTTCGAGGTTTAAGAGTGAAAAATCAAAGAATTAAAAGTAGGTGTCAATATAATTTACACGGATATCCAAAAAAAAACTATGGGTTTGGAAGCAGATATTCAAACAGTAATTGTATTTGATGATGTTATATGTATCTATATATACAGGGTTACCCACAAAGGATGAGAATATTTACAATAATGTTACCAGTATCTTTTAACTTTTTAATTTTAACTTTAGATGCAAACTTTAACATTTATTAAAGTTAGAAAAGTATCAAATGATTAACAAACTCTGCGAATTGTATTGTAAAGGGGTACTCGCAAAGGTTGATACTCCAGAAACGACGGTACGGAACACAGACTAAACAGACTGGGCACTATAGGCCTTGCAACTTTTAAAGAATACTCCAATTTCAAACATAAAACATAACGTTTATTAATATTGTCTATTTTTAAAGATTTTGCATTTCCTATTCAAAGGATTCTTAAATATTCCTAAATAACGATGTCTCCTGATTGGTCGTGTACAGTACTTTACACTAATAGAACATACTGTGGAAAATATTGCATTTTAGAGGTGTTAATCGATCTCTGTAATTCTCTTATCTCTGATACGGAATCTATATCTGTCTGTGTTCCTTTATTCATGCTTCCCTGCAACTCAATTCTTTCGTTTGAAATTGTTGTATTTAAAGAGTTTCTAGTCGTCTTTACATCTCATTTTTTGTGGGTAATCCTGTTTACTCGGAGTGTACATACAGGGTTACTCACAAGGAATAAGACTTCAGAGACGATTGTACGGAATTTGTACTGTCTGTTTCCTTATATTCACGAATCCCTGCAACTGTTAAATTGTTTCTTTCTTTGCCTAATTTATCAGATAACTATAATTAAGGCCGAATACTTAATTTAACCTTGGGAGCGTCAAATTTTAAGAATTTTCGGTCGTCCTCATCGTCTCAACCTTTATGGGTAACCCTGTACTTGGAATTCTTTCACGCATTCCAATGCACGTATTGTATATATATATGTACTCATGTGAATCTTTTAAAAACTGATTTTCTGAGTTTTCCATCTTTAAACTTTCTTTCGACTTTCCACCTTTCCGTTTACTGCCTATATACTATACAGGTGTATACTAGTTTTAGAAATTCAGGGCGCTCCGAAGCGTAATTTCAATTGACCTTCATTTAACAGATTTGCATGATCAAGAATGAAATATCCATGATTTTGAAATCCCTTGAAAAATTTGTGAAAACTGAACACAAAGCTATAAAAAACCGGCGATATCTTCCACATTATTGATCAGATAAAGGTTTCCAGGGTACTTCTACTTCTATCCATGGGAAACGTCAAAATGACCTGAATAAAATATTTAAATGGGCCCCTTCCATGTCCAAGGGTTGTCAAATTTTGAAAAGGTCACTCGATATTCTATTTTTTCACAAACCATTAAAATTCTTTAAGTAAATTGTTTTCTATGTACGGGGTGAATTTAAAAAACCGGAATTATCGATTTTTTGGACAAAAAATTTCATTATTTTTGTGTGCTTCGGATTACGGCAAAAAAATCTAAAATTAAAAAATATATTTTTGGAACGATGAAAAAAAATCTGGAAACCAATTTTTTTAACCCCATCCCTCCACGTACGAGGGTGCTAGAGCGTCGGGAAACCCGCCGGTCGCAAGGTGCAACCTGAGTTTTCCCTGAAATTTGTTGCAAAATTGTCCATAAAAATCACTAAAATTCGACAAAAATTTAATGACATATATCAATTACTCTAGACTAATTAATTGAAGTCATAACAGTTCTAAGTTGTTATTTGCAAAGAGAATAGATTATAATCTATTCCGCAGATTTTCACTTCAATTTTCTGCAGATTTTTCAAATATTTTCACTTTTTTGAATTTTTGAATTTCAAAAAGTATAAAGTCAAAAAAAGACTAAAAATACTTATTTGACACCTCTGGCATATTATTTGTAGTTATTCCCCAAATCAAAAGTTTTATTTAAAGTGCAGTTAAGGAAAATATCAATTAATAAAAAAGAGCAACCATCTCCTTATATTTATTTTTTATGCTTAAAATTTATTTCAAATTCTAATCTATCATGTATAGCATACAGATTGCCAAGCACTTGAAAAACTATTTGCTATAAAGTAATTTCTCTAAACACTTAAGCCTCTATTAGCTATCTAATGATTTCTTAAAGGGAGGGACTGGCAATGTATGGTAAATGTGTAGTATTGTGAAAAAATGTTTTAGGAGTTATTTGAGACATATAAAACGTTTCTACGACGTATTTTTACTGAGTTTGAGCGCAAATTCGACAATCAAAATTATGAATTTGTGTGGGTACGTTTCCAGAATCGGTTTTTTTAATTATTAAATAACGACGACAAAAAATGTAAACAAAATTCTACAGTAAACTAATTAGCTGTTTAGGAATAGGTGGAGAAAATAAAAATTAACTCTTATCATCTTATTCAATTATTAGTTTCAATTATCTGTCATTATTCACAAAGATCTTCTGTAGATTTTCTGGAATTTTTATCGAAAAGACGGCATTTGAAGAATTTGTAGAAATCTGCGAACAAATTCATAGAAAATAAGTAATTGAATAATATGATGAAAACGAAATAATTGATTGTAAGATAGATTTATTGACAAATTTCTTTTGAGAAATATGTTCCTAAACATCTAATTAGTTTACTGTATAATTTTTACTTTATTTTTTGTCGTCTTTATTTAATAATTTAAAAAAAAACCGATTCTGAAAACGTATCCACACAAAGTCGATTTTGCGTTTAAACTCAGTAATTATTCATCGTGGAAACGTTTTATTTGTCTCAAATGAATCCTGAAAAGATTTTCTACAATACTGCATACTCAGTTCAACCACCATACATTGCCGGTCTCTCCCTTTACTACACTATAATAACGATGATTATCTCATGATATATCTATACACTATAATATCAATGGTTATCTCATGATATATCTATACACTATAATATCGATGATTATCTCATGATGTATCTATACACTATAATATCGATGTCCATCTCATGATATATCTATACACTATAATATCGATGTCCATCTCATGATATATCTATACACTATAATAACGATGATTATCTCATGATGTATCTATACCCTATAATATCGATGTCCATCTCATGATATATCTATACACCATAATATAGATGTCTATCTCATGATATATCTATACACTATAATATCGATGTCTATCTCATGATATATCTATACATTATAATAGCGATGTCTATTTCATGATATATCTATGAATATCTGGAAACCAGCCAAGTTCAAGTAATCACGGGACATCAGTTGACGGTCAACACATGATATACAAACATTAAACAGTGAACTAGTCAGAAGGAGAACGTTCTACGACTTAGTGACCTCGTAGATTCTTCAGTTTTAAAAATTAGAAACTCATAACCTGTTCGTTCTTCTCAATTACTCTTCAGTTATGATAGAAAACATATCAGATTTTAATGCTTCATTTTGAATTGATTATACAGTGTATGCCGAGTCAATTAGCGCCTGATCCAATCAGGGTTCTGTCATGTGTTTTTTGTCTATTCTGAACCAATAGAAATAGTATGGCGGTAACATCTATCTTTCTATCTATCTCATTATCCAATTAGAGATATGAATCCTTCAATCGGCGCTATCAGTAAATGGAAATATTTACTTCTACTGAAACTATAGTGACGTTAAGATTACTAAATCTGTGCATGGTAAATTTTATAACTCTAATTAACGTTTAAGGAACTACAAAATTGTCAAAAACTAACATTTTCTAATCCATGTCTTTCTATGCAATCTGAAGGTTTAAACCGTTGAGGCTTAAATTTGTTAAGAGATATCAAATACGTGTCATTGTAATTGTATTCGGTATTAGATTGGGAACCCTGCTTTGACTCGAAACTAAACTTTATCCAAAAAAGTCAACCAACTCAACTTTTGAACCAAATCGGTCTAGAAGTTATGATAGGACTTCCGCCAGATAAAGAACCAGAGATTACAACTTTATATAGATATCTAGGATATCAGTGAAAAAGCAAAAATCTTCTTTATTCATAGATATCTAGAATATATGTTTTTCTTGTTAAGCTTATTTAATTATCTAAAGAACTGTAAACAAAATTTTAGTTGTGACCCATCATTGCTAGGGTGGAATGTCTAATTCACATTAATGCCTTTGAAACCTTTCCGGTCATGCTGGTTGAACTGAGAATGTAGTATTGGAGAGAAATTGTTTAGGATTCATTTGAGACATATAAAACGTTTTAATTATGTATAATTACTGAGTTTGAGCGCAAAGCCGACTATCAAAATCATCCATTTGGGCGGTTACGTTTTCAGAATCTGTTTCTAAATAGAAAATGCAACAAAAATTCTACAGTAAACTAATAAATTCTTTAGGAACAGGTTGAGAACAAGAAATTAACTCTTATCATCGAAAATAAGTAATCTTATTCGGTTAATAGTTTCTGTAATTTCTCATTTTCACAAAGATTTTCTGTAGATTTTCTGGAATTTTAATTGAAAAAACGACATTTGAAGAATTTGTAGAAATAATTGAAATTCGTAAAGAATAATTGAAATTCAATATATTGATGAAACAGACATAGTTGATTGTAAGATTGATTTATTGACAAATTTCTATTGAGAAATATGTCCCTAAACATTTAATTAGTTTACTGTAGAATTTTTAATACATTTTTCATCGTCGTTTTTTAATAATTTAAAAAAAATCGATTCTCAAAACGTAACCACCCAAAAGCTAGAAAAACAACTATATCTACCATACCATATTTTTTATCAGAAAGACGTTTAAAGGGTACCATTGTGAATCTCACATGCCCCTCCTGAAATGTTCGGTCACTGGAAATTACAGCATTTACGATAGCATAGAAATCTATTCATTTCAGATCGATCGACGAGACGAAATGACGAAAAAACCATAAAATTAGGTCAATATTATCAATATTAAAAAAACTATTTTTAAATTAGTTTTTTATAGTAAAAACCAATATTGTTTCTTTTAAAAATATTCATTTGAAAAAATATCAATTATTGTACTTTCACGTTTGACCCTGAAATCCCTGAATTGCAATTAGTAAAAAGTTTATCCGTGGCCGGCTATTACTACTAGAAGCAAGAAAGCATGCAAGTCAAAGTATACGTGAAAATATACACTTAATAAACATCATCATTTTAAATATTTTAATTTTTCTTTCTATTTTTTGAGAACATTTAAAAGATCAAAACAAAAGATTGCTCTTTTAAAAAAATTAAAACGCAAAAGAAAAACGTATTTGAAGAAAAATGTATCAACAACTTTTTTATTTTTTTTTATAATATTTGTTCATTTCCCCCCCTCCCATCCCTGATTAATATTTTTAGAAGTATATATCCAGTTAAACTCTGAAACTTAAACCTGTTTCTTTATACATGTTATAATATAATATAATTATTGATAAAAAAGCTAAATATCAAAAAGAAAACATATTAAGATAATATCAGAATATATTCCCTTTGGTCTAAGTTATACAATTAATAATTATCTTAAAAATTGGGATTTTTATTTGATAATTTTGAAGTTAGCTGAACATGGTGTACAGGAGTAATATGTGACACAATGTCTATTTACGATATTGCAGCGGTTGACCGACTCACCAGCCTCCAATCCAGGTAAAGAAAAGCGGTTGACCGACTAACTAGCCTTCAATTCAGGTAAAGAACAGCAGTTGACAAACTCACCAGTCTTCAGTTCAGATAAAAATCAGCGGTTGACCGACTTATCAGCCTCCAATCCAAGTAAAGAGCAGCAGTTGACGAAAGTAAAAAAAAAACAGTGCTTGACCAACCAACCCGCCTTCAAACTGGGTAAAACACAGGGGTTGACCGACTAACCAGACTTCTATCCAGGTAAAAACAAGCCATTGACCATCTTACTAGCCTTCAATCCAGGTAAATAACTGGGGTTGACCGACTTACCAGCTTTTAATCCAGGTAAAGAAAAGCGGCTGACCATCTAACCAGCCCCCAATCCTGCAAGAGAACAGCGGTTGAACATCTTATCAGCCTTTAATCCAGGTAAAGAACAGCCGTTGACTGACTTATCAGCCTCCAATCCAGGTAAAGAATGGTGGTTGACCGACTTACCAGTCTTCAATCCAGGTAAAGAATGGTGGTTGACTAACTTACCAGCTCCAATCCAGGTAAAGAATGGTGGTTGACTAACTTACCAGCCTTCAATTCAGTTAAATAATGGTGGTTGGCCGACATACCAGCACTCAATTCAGGTAAATAATGGTGGTTGACCGACATACCAGCCCTCAATTCAGGTAAATCATGGTGGTTGACCGACATACCAGCCCTCAATTCAGGTAAATAATGGTGGTTGACTGATTTACCAGTCTTCAATCCAGGTAATAATGGTGGTTGACTGACTTACCAGCCTTCAATTCAGGTAAATAATGGTGGTTGACTGACATACCAGCCCTCAATTCAGGTAAATAATGGTGGTTGACTGACTTACCAGCCCTCAATTCAGGTAAATAATGGTGGTTGACTGACATACCAGCCTTTAATTCATGTAAATAATGGTGGTTGACTGACATACCAGCCTTCAATTCAGGTAAATAATGGTGGTTGACAGACGTACAAGCCTCTGATCCAGGTGAAGTGAAGTGATCAGATGCATAATTTCGTATATTAGATAACACTTTTACATTTTTTACTCTCTTAAAATGATAGATTATAAGGGTTGTTTTTAAAAAAGCTTCTTTTTTTAAGTTGGAATTTTCGTAATCTTATAACAGCTGTTTCGCTACTTAGCGATTTCCCTAAAGACCTAATGTATATACCGTGCCGTGTTTCTCGAGATTGGATTGTAAGCCTTCCTCCTTTCAACGCTCTCCATAACAAAGGATAATAATAAGGTTCCAAACGTTTATTTCTCGAATGCTTCAATCTAAATAAGTTTAATAAGCCCACAGAAAAAGCTTTGAGTGATAAATCATACGAAACACAAAAATAATCCACTCAGGCATTAAAAAACTGTGGCAAGGAACCAACAAACACATATACAAATATCAATCATAATATGATCAAACGATAGCATATATATATATATATAAGAAATAATTACCGCAGTGATCCTAGAAATTAAGCACGGTTACACTCGTAAACCAAATAAACATATACTAAGACAAAACTGTTCACTCTCACGCAAGAAATCTTGCGCCTGCGTAGTCAGTCTGTAAACAGCTCCTAAAACTAGTTCTTTCACAATACGTTCTGTACAGATCTTCAGGGAGAACTCAGAAATACACAGGGGTGACAAGTAGACTTTATACACGGAGCATGGCTCGTGTAACAACAGCTGAAAAACAAATTTAAAACATTTCTAGCTTTCTCATCAGGAAAACACATTCTTTAAATATCTTTTTCTCAACCAGACTATTTTAGTTTCAATTATTTGACAGTTAACTAAAACTATTATTATTATCATTTTCAGTATTAGCATTATTATTATTATTATTATCATTATTATTATTATNGAGTCCGCTCCACCACCTTCCTGGAGAACCTTAGAGCTGCACTCATCCTTTTAGGAGAGGCAACCTTCTCTGTCCGCTCCTCCTCAGCTTCCAGGAACACATCATCATCATCCTCCAACATCACTACCTCCTCCGATCCATCCTCCTGCAGAGGCCCGGAGACACTCTCCCCGAACCCACTCCTACCTCTGGATGAACCAGGAGAAGGCTGGGACGGGGAGAGGCCAACCGGCTCCTCTACATTAGACCCAGCTACACTCTCCCTAGAACTCTTCATCCTCATGCTTTTCTGCTTCCCCGGCTTGGAACTCTTCTTCCTCTTCACCCCAGACCTCACCTTGGGATTGGGTAGAGGAACCTCCTCTCTCCACCGAGTTCGTTCCTCGTACTCCCAGTCCTCAGAGAGCTTGGCCAGCCGATCAACTCTCATCCTCCTCACTCTCAACTCCTCCTCACACTTCCTCAAACCCTCAGACTCCTCTTCCAGCGACTGGAGCACAGCAAGTTTCAGCCTCTTTTCTGTAATCTCCACCACCGGAGCTTTCTTGTCCATAATCCTCCGATAACAGAGTCGCATGGCATCGTACAGTCCTCTGTAGAACTGTTGAAACCCAACGTTCTTCTCCATCCTGGCCCATTCCAACAGGGACCACCTCTGACATCTCCCGATCCGCGTACACTTCTCCCCTATCTCCTTACTCTTTACCTTCTCCATGTCCAACACTAACAACGGGATCCTCAAACCTTTCAGCCTCTCCAAACCTCTGGAACTCTCTACAGGTCTTGACCAGACTTGCTTCTCCAGGTCTTCTAGCTCTAGCCCAAACCTGGCATACTCCTTCTCCTCCCTCCCAGGGGGGTTCAGCCTCATCCCCCTGCACCAAGTATAACCAACCTGGGCCAACACCTCCACCTGGACCAGAAACCTCTCCCTCGCCTCCAGTAGATACCGACACCCTCCAGAAGTAGGAGCAGGCCATTTCCCTAAGATCTGAGTCCATAACCTGATCAAAGGAGGCGAGAACTCGAACAACTTTTCTCTCTCATTCCTGTACCTCAGAGAAAGAACCATCTCCTCCCTTGTCTCAGCTTCCTCCTCTGCCTTCTGGTGATACTCCACTCCTTCCAGCGACACCAGCAAGAGCTCCAAGAACCAGTCCGCTGCGTCCTTCTGGCTGCACTTCAGGTACTTACACAATATCTCAGGATCTGGAAAAACATCTCTCAATAACAATCCTGCCAGAATATTGTAGGTCATGAACCCAAACTGGATGTCTCCTAACACATAGCACTTCAGGGACTCTGGGATCAACTGCCATCTCTCGCCCCACCAGTCATCCCCTGTAGAAACATTCTTATTTAGTAGGGTTCCAATCACCTGCATTCCCATTGCTATCATGTTTTTTGACTGGAACTTATATCCGGCTAGAATGGCTAGAGATGTAAGATCAATAAATCCTCTCTCCAACCTTACATCTTCACCAGAAATCAACGAGTAAAACTCCTCCACTCCCCGAACATCTCTCCGAACTGCAAGTCCGGCAGGTACAGGGAGATCACGGAGAAACTCAAGAAGTTCTGGCTGAACCGTCATCCTCTCCAGCACGTACTCCTTCCTCTTGTTCCTCTTCAGATCTAGTGAGATTAGGCAGGTCCATGACACTTCATTCCCGAACATAATCTGCCCAGGAATCTGCTTAAAAGTATCCTTAGAGGCATCCGTCATCATCTCAGGGTCGCACTTCCTCTTTAGAACCCCACTCCTGGGATCAATAGTAGCTCTCCTGGCCATCCTCAGGGTATCGAAGTAAGTTGCCTTCACGTCCTCCACGTCAAAAGACATGATCCGGGTTCCAAACAATCTCTGATCCGCATCTTGCATCTTCTCCACCCATTTCCTCACCTCTAATATCTCAGAAGCTGAAGATACACCACAAACCAACTCTCTCACCTCAATCCTATCCAGCATTTTCAGGTTCAATCCCCTGATCCTCTGATACTTCTCCAGCTCCTCCAGCTTAGGGTACTTCCAGGCATCGATCCGCTTCGCATCCTCCACCAGGAAATCCAGGAGAGGAGCATGTAGAGGTA